TTCATTTCCGGGGTTAGAAAGAGTAGATGGCGGTGAAAGAGTGAATGGTAGTAAATGAGTGAATGGTAGTGAGTTCTTGTGTTGTAGTGAGTTCTGAGACGACGAAGGAGGTCTGATAGCTTTATAGTTTGTTAGTAAGTTACACCGCCAAGCGGTCTCTTGATACAATCACTGTTCATTTTATCTAGACATGCTTCTTATACGCCACACAGGTCTATCTGTAACGACGGTGAGTGCATTATGAGCGTGCGTAATCCTTCTTGCTCCGCTATGACGAATGGCACAAGCATGCTCTATGTTGTTCTCCGTATCATAGCTAGCTAATAACGGAGTTTAATAATCTAAAATTCTCTAGAAAAAATGCTACAAGCCAAGAAAAATGCGCGTCTAACCCTTGGTAATATCGCCACGTAGAACGCAACACAGAAAAATTACTTTACGGAAAACAATACTGTCCTCGAAGTGGCCCTAATCCTTATTTGCCACCCTCTTACAGTTGATTAGCTACATCACGGAGAATGACATAGAGTACAAACACCAGGCGGCTCTATAGTACGGTGTGCATCAAGAACAGAGTTGCGATCTCGGTGGGTCGTTTAGAGATTGCAGGTCAATTGCCAAGAGATGCGGTTAGAGAAATCCGAAAAGAGTGCGGAGTACGCGGTCCGTTTGCTTCCAGGGCAATGCTGGCCCACTACAATGCACGCCTTAAAAGCGAAACCGTCAGCAAGCTTTAGGAAGTTCGTGTTCACTATAGAAGGCGATGAGCTCGACAGTCTGTGCTTTCTAAGCCGGAGTTTGCGGATTTTTTCTTCCCTTTCGCTGCCTTAACATACCTGGGCACTTGATTACTACCGTGTCTGTGCGCGTTACGCCCATAGTCGAGTTATGCCCAGTTAACAACACCACAACCTTTAAAAAATGAGGCTGTACAGCCACTCAAAAAAGCGATTATCACGAGATTCCTTGGTGTATCAATATATAGACGTATGCGAAACTTTCTGTCTACTCAGAATATTTCTTAGGTGGTCGTACTGAGCGTGTGCGGATGAGTGGTGGAACACGTTAGCACTACAGCCTCATGTTTGCAGACGCTGTTTAGGGGGATTCAGCGCATTTGGTGCACGGACACGGTACTGTGCACCGACAGTGGCCGAGCCACCCAACATCAAAACAACAACCCTTCACCAAACTTCAAGACGCGATAACTCCACCGACATGGACCCAGTGCAAGCTGCGACTGAAGCGATTAAATCGCGCGAAGAAAGCGCATCTTTATCATATCAGCAAATAGCTGCAGAATTCGGTATTAATCGCACAACATTGTCCCGCAGACACAAGGGCTTACAAGGTACTAATGCAACCGCACGACAAGATCGCTAGAAACTCAGCCCATCACAAGAGGCAGAGCTTATAAAATATATAAAGACTATAACAGAACGAGGGCTTCCACCTACAAGAGAGATGGTACGAAATTTTGCGAGCGCAATAGCAGAATCATCGTGTTCGGATCGCTGGATAGATCGGTTCCTTCTCCGCAACCACACCCAACTCACATCTAAATGGAGCCTTGGGATGGACCGCGACCGTCACCAGGCTGACTCTGGTGATAGATACCAACTGTATTTCGATCTCATTCACTCTACAATATGACGATATAACGTTGACGCGCGTCACAAATACAGTGTGGATGAAAAAGGCTTCCTTATTGGCATCCTCTCCCGTTTAAAACGCGTCTTTTCCAAGCTACCTTGGGAGACAAAACAAGTCAGGGCAACGTCACAAGATAGTAGCAGGGAGTTTAGAACTGTCCTGGCATGTAGTTGTGCAGATGGAACTGCCCTAGAGCCTGGTATAATCTTCGAAGGACAAGGGCCAATGTGGAGCTCGTGGGTGGAGGGCGTAGAGGCAGGAAAATACAGAGTTTTCTTAACTACCTCACCCACAGGTTGAAGCAATAATGATACAGGGTTGGCATGGCTTGAGCAGGTGTTTGACAGGGCAACAAAGGCAAAGGCGCGCTCATCTTACCGTCTCCTCCTCCTTAATGGCCACGGCGGTCACGTTACCCAAGATGTTATCGATTATTGCGAGGCCAACAGGATTCTCCTAGCTATCTTTCTACCTCATTCAACTCATACTCTGCAGCTCTTAGATGTGGGGATGTTTAAGCCTCCTTCTTCAGCTTACTCTAATAAGCTCTTACGGCATCTTTAACACAGTCAAGGCCTCTTACCTTTTAAGAAAGGCGATTCTTTTGAGCTGTTTTAGAGTGCCTGGTACATCTTATTCACACAGGACAATATATTGACCTCATTTGGGGCTACAGGGCTCTAGCCACCGAATGCTGACGTCGTCCTCTAACGCTTCACAACCACCACTCCCTATGAAGATGAGGACTCAGAATTCTCGCAGGTGGGTAATGGCAGTACATGGAGGCAGCTCCGAAATTTGTTTAATGCTGCTATCCCAGATAAATCAACAGTACCAGCCAAGGCTCCGTCTGCTTCATTGCACTCGCTACAAGCCAACAATGAGTTTCTCCACCTGAAAAATGAAGGCTTTCGCACTGCATTTATCACCAAAAGCAAGCACCAGAAACAGAGCAAGCCTCTAAAGCTTCAACAGCAAGAGGAATACCATGGCGGTGCAGTATTCTGGTCTCCCAGGAAGATAAGGGAAGCGCGGCCGCGTGTGGTCAAACAGCGCGAAGAAAAGCAGGAAAAACTTCAAAAACAAGAGAGGAAGGGCCTGAGAGAGGCTGCAGCTCAACTCAAAAAAGATCCAGAGGGAGGAGGCAAAGGAGGACCGGCGTCTTGCCAAAGAGAAGCGGGATAAAGAGAGGGCTGAGAAGGCCGAGAGCCTCAGGCAAGCAAGAGAGGCAAAGCAGGTTGCAAAACAGGCTGCAACCCCACAAAATTATCAAACCACGCAAACAAGCTTAAGTGAACAGACTCACACACTGCTCCAAAAGAAAGCAGCAAAAAAGCGTCGTGTTGTGGCCTCTGAAAGTGGTGAGGGCGCTGCATCCTAAGCACCCAAACCACCACCAAAACCAGCCGAAAGTGGCCGTCCAATCAAGCTTCCAGCAAAATTCAGATAGTACAAATTGATCGCATTGTCTTGTTTACTGTCCCACCACAAATTCCTGTGATAATAGTTATCGTATGTGGCTCTACAGCCTCAATTTGGCTGGTGGGCTGATTTTGGTAGGTGGCTCGCCCAGCGCGGTGGCTCGGCCACTGTCGGTGCACGGTAGGTGATCAAAGTTGGTGGGGTGACCGACTCGCTTATCCAGCACGTTAGCGCAAGCTCGACAGTCCGCGCCTTCTAGACCGGTGTTTGCAGACTTTTCTTCCTCTTCGCTATCTCATTTACTTGAGTCGGGAGCTTGCAAACTAGGAGTCTAAAACACGGAGTCTCGTTCTTGTAATTTCTCAACGCCTTCCTTGAGTTTTCCGCGACACGTAATATTAGCACCTGAACCATTCATACTATTTGGCAATGAAGTCGTTAGGTTGAAGGATTGATGAGTGCAGGGATGGAAATGCGCACATTGCGACCTGATTTTCGCGGTCTTTGTTTTAGCGCAGGCGGATTGACCCCAAACGGGGGAGGGGAAAGATGGCTCAGAAAATGAATCATGTACGCGAGGCTAACATCTTCAAGAGCCCATTGAGGCATTTCGAGAAGAAGAACGACTCATTTGACGTCTACCTAACAGACCTCGCTCCGGGTTCTAGACTAAGCGAGGTCACCAAACCCTTCAAAACGGGTCGAAGTGGTGCCACTTTGCATCCACCGCTGGCCGTACGTCCGCGACGGGCTTGTCGGAACGCTCCTCAGTGCATCCGCACCAACGAAAAGCCGGTCAATGCCGAGAGTCCCCTGGCGCTGCTGCACCAATAAAAAGCTGGCAATGCCGACAGCCCCTGGCGATGCTGCAAGGGTGGTCCTTTGCTAGTTCGCCGACTACTATGCACTAAACCCTCGCTAGAGGCTTCTTGTACCCCATATTCTGGGGCAGATCCCCATAATTGCGGAAGGTTTTGAAAATCATGCAAGTTTAGAAGACCGGCGGATTGTAAGCGTCGTATTGCACTGTTCAATCCTTTTTGTTCCTACTTGATCGACAATTGACGCACACTAGGGTAACGCTCCGCGAAAACTGAGCTCTTACGTTGCGGACAGGATGCTCAAATACGGGGAGCCGGGGTATATGGAAGAGAATAAGGGGCCTATGCTTTACAGCATTACGTTCTCGTTCCTTGCTGCCGCTATCCTCATAGTGATACTTAGGTATGGACTATTTGGTTTATCGCAGCCACATATTTGACCTTATTCTAGGCTGCTATGTCGGTGGTATCTCCTACGCGCACGACACACGACGCTATCGGAAAACCTGATCATCCTGTCGCTTCTAGTCGACATTGCCTCATGCACTTTGATTCGTTTTCAGATCCATACAGGGATGGGGAGACATATCGAGTACTCGAGGGCCCGTCCAAGAATGCTCGTAGAAAGCATCAAAGTAGGGCTTGCGCAGAACACATGCTATCAGGCGCTAAACGGGTGAGAGACTCTCAGAAATGCAACAGGTCTCTTGCGATACTCATACAGGTTTTGTAGGCTTGTGAAGATGAGCATACTTGCCCAGTTTCATCAACTTGCACCCCCAGGAACACAAAGGCGAGTGGTCATATGGGTTGGTGGCTTTGTCTCAATATTTACACTGTTCACGGTGTTCGTCAGTATTGTCACCACCCTTACATCACATCTGTTGCTGACAGGCCATCTAGGCTGCAATATTTCAGTGTATTCCAATGGAGGCTACATGGAACATGGAGACCTATCCAAAGGTTCGTCACTGAGTTGTCTGTTATGAAATCTACACAGCTGAAAGACCACAGGGATGCTGGAACATGATGGGAGTGAACTTTTTCACTTCTTCTATGAATACGTTGCTCGATTTGGTTATCTTCGTCCTTCCTATTCCCACGATGCTGAAGCTGCAGATCACTTCCAAAAAAAAAGGTGAGTGGTCAGACCGAACGCAATACAGCCACGGGACTCACAGCCTGAAGTGACATTGGTGCTGGCGTATGGTCTGGGTCTACTGGCACTTGCTTGCTCAATCATAAGGCTGCGAAATATCGTTCACTTTAATGGTGAAGGTGACTTCACTTATGTTGCATCAATGGTCCCAGTGTGGGGAGCGGTCGAATGCAATGCCGGCATTGTTTGCGGTATGTACATACTTTGTTATGGAACTCGCAAACTCATCTGCTGATGTGACCCAGCGTCATTTCCGTTCATCCTACCACTTATCAAGTGGATGAGTGGCTCTGTGGTTGCAAGCGCATCCGGCTCATGCCCGAACCCCATATCAGGAGCAGGTCACGAGCTCCGTCGAACCGATAAGAAGAGCTGGCAAATGAACTCTACGCGCCTGTCAGATTGGCATCGAATGCCTTCTGAATCCACAGAAAACATCAGAAATGATCACGAGTTTGTGTTCGAATCCCCAGAAGAGACGATGCGATCTGACAAGGAGCATGTCGGCAAGCTTGTTGAGCAGCGTGAGCTGCAAAAGGATGAAGAACGGGATCTGTACTTAGGCTGAAGGTGCGTGAGATGTTTGGAGTATAGCGCTCCATGATAGAGTCGACCAGACCAGCAATTGTTCGGCACAGGGAAGGAGTTTCAGGACCTAAGGTCTGACGGTTCGTTCCGGCTTACGCCAAGCCGCTTAGAGGTATATAGACCTCCTAACCGCTACCTCGCATCAGTAGCGGTTCGTCTCTAGTCTACGAAGGCAATATACTCTTACCTCAGTTATTCATGTGCATTCAGTATCTCATCTAACGATATGGCCTGACAGTAGTAATGCCTTTTAACGTTGAACGTTTCAACTATAAAGATAGATAAGCGAATGCGTAATAGGTATGCGCTGACAGCTAAGCGTTGATCGAAAATGTTGTTAGTTACTTATTTGCAGTGTATGTTGCAGCAGCACTGTAATAAAGTTGTCGTTTTGTGGGGGTCTGGCAAGAGTATGTTGTCCGTCTGCGAGCTTTGTCAGACAACTAAATTATGAAACAGGCTGAATACGAAGCCGATTTGGGTTCGATACGGTATATAAATTGTACTATGAAGTACAGTCACTGACGCAATCAATGAAGAGGGGCTCCAATGGCCTGTACACTTAAGGCGACGTTTCACATCAGACGGCTGTGACTTGACGTGTCTATCAACTATCAGCTACCTTGTACGTCGTGCTTCGTAAGGTCTAAAGAAGAAAGACGCTTCTTATTAATTTAGTTCACGTTAAAGAACTGAAAGTACTGTAAAAGAGCTTGAGTCGAGATCTGAAAATTCCAGCCTAAGTTCCAAATCTGTCCCTTATTTACTCAATATTCTTACGGTGCGTGTCTATACCAACAAAGCTGGCCTTATAGAGTTGCTCGAAAGCGTGAACTTTGATGAGGCTGTCTGCCCGTGCCGGACTATTATGTTGAAAGGTTGAGCGCGCGACTACCTCTACAGGGCCAGTTTCATCCTAACCCAGGGCGGCTGTAAGGGGCTACGTGTGAGGGACTGCGCAAAGTATGCCGATGCCTGGTAACAGGATTGTATTCGATGAAGAAGAAAACCTATCTACGGTGGTGCGATATCTATATACGTTTAGCTTGTCGTGGCATCTTGAAGCTTCTAGAATGCCGAGGAGGCTCCGGAGGTTCCACCTAGGATCACCATAGCATCCGGGCTCTAGCCCGTTACATTACCCCCCTCCTTTGTCTAAAGCGTCTGGATGGATCTCGTTTGAGCTGCGGCGGAATCCTGCGGGAAGGAGTTTTGTTCTAGGGTCTCGATAAGGTTCCGTGAACTGGTCCCATCGAATTTTCGCTTCAGTATTCTCCAAGTTCTCTTTAGGCTCTATTGTTGGCAGGTGGTAGCCCTTCCACTTCACCTCATACCACCATTTGGTTCCGCGTCCACGCCGCCGACAGATTTCTGCCAGGATATCTTCAACTTCCCACATATCTGCACCGTCACTATCTACCTGGATCGGTAGCGGTTGGTCATCGTCTCTTGACTGGCTTGGTAATGGGTCTGATGATGCTAGTCTTAACCGGTCAACGTGGAAAACATTGTGAGGGCCTGGAAGTGTATTAAGGCGGACCGTGTGGGTGTCTATTACTTCAATCACCGTGTATTTCGCGCTTCTCCAATCGAGCTTCTTTGATCTCCGGCCAGTAGCAAACTGTTTTCCTAACCGTAGCCATACTTTGTCGCCAACGCGTAGTTGTGGGGCCTCTCGGCAGTGTCCATTTGCTTGTCGTTCCTGTTCTTGCTGTGCCTCTGCCATAGACGCTTGTGCTAGTTCTAGCAGATGACGCGATCTCAAGTTGCGCACAAACAAACCAAATCGGCGTCTAAAGTTTGTTTAATTTGCTTACTGACAAGTCTGGGTACAGTTAACTTTAATTTTAGAGAAGAACGCGATGTTCGTCTGTAGAAGCGAGTAGCAACACAACAAACATAGAGGGGTCGTAGCCGTGCTTTGCATATGTTCACAGCCGAAAAAAACTCCGCATCTTGCACATCGCTTGATAGTGCCGTGGACGCGACGTCAGTGCTAAACATCCGGATACATCACAAGTTAAGCCAACGAAAGCAGACGCAAGACAGTGTGCTACTGTTATTGAAACGTTGATTATTTTAATGCGACCTTCTAGAAACGTTGATTCAATTTAGGGAAACACCGGAATCCAAACCAAACCAGATCAGATCAGATCAGAAGCTTCTTTGTTCCTGAGACTGGCCGTAACTCAACGGTGCATCATCACTTGTATTGATCTTCACCCCATTGCTATTGAAGCATCGCTGGATGATTGACTTGCTGACTAGATAGACCTGCGGAAGGCAAACAATGAAGATGCTTACGTAGATCTCAATAGCGCACCAAAACGATACTGGAACAGTTTCGTCTGTCAATGTTATTAGCTGGTGCGTATAGGCTGAATAGACGGGTAAGGGAGGGGCAGATGGAGTGCAGTCGGCGCTAGAGCGAAGAGCACAGGTGTCATGAACGTACAGGTGAAATTCCAAGTATAAACCGCTGTGAGCGTGATCACAAGTCGTACAATCGCGATGATTGTGACTCTATTCGTGGCGAGTTAGTTACAAAGAGAGCAGTGTCTGTAGACGAATAACGTACACGAATCCAAACGCGAAGACAGACACGACTTCGATTTTCCTCCACCATTGTACTTGCAGCTTTAGAAGCCTCGGAATAGGCAGCATGATTACGACGAATTCGATGCCGAGGTTGAAAATGCTAAAGGTGTAGTTCAGGGCTTGTCTGTCCACATGACACGTTGGCGGGTCTGCTGAGTTCGTTGTGCCATATTCCTGGTACATTCGCCAGCGATAGGATACCGGCGAGCATTGGAAAAGGTGGGCGAGAAATATTGATACCATAGCTGTTGCGCATATAGTGATCAGAATGTAGGTAACACTTCGAATACTCCCGGTTGGAAAAAGGCGGAGATAGAAGCAAAGAATGGCCATTTTGGTGGAGAAGGTGAGAATGACGAAATTCAATTCGCTGAGGTACACATACTACTAGGGTCAGTCTATGAGTCTCGGTTACGTCAAACTGAAGTGTTGGTAAATACCCTTGCAGCAGTTGTGATCGTACTAGGTTGCAGCATGTAGATGTCCTGCCCAAAGCCGTAGTGCACCACTGCGTGCAGGTCAGCAAGAGCTCTTCAATGAAGGTGTAGGAACAAAGAGGGATCGGCAAGGATGGTAAACCCACTCGTCAACAAAAGCGCAAGCTGACACGCTGCTAACGGCTACGCAGTTGTCAGTGTTGTGTCTACAAAAGTCTCTGCATGCATACCGTGATACCGAACACTACCCAATCATCTGCACCCCACTTTATAGAGAATGGGGATATGCGTGTAGCAAAGCGCAAGCATACAGCAAGAAGAGCGATGATTGCTGTAGTAGTTACGGTGATCGTTATTGAAGATGATTGGTTTCGAACTACGGTATCGCAAGCTATGTGGATCGAATATTCTCCCGCTAATCTCAGTCAAGATTACTGTAGTAGCAGAAAGATTGAGGGCGTCTGGGTTTTCACTGACCATAAACATCTAGAACAGAGCAATACATATCAAGACATCCGCCAAGCTGATATGACATAGTTGGGATGCTGCATAGACAAGCTTGGTCGGCCGGAGCACATCCAGTGTACTCGAGAAAAGCCAGACTACATGTGCGCTAGTGTTGTCAATCGTTAGTAGTTTTTGGAGCACAACTATCCACTGACTTTCCCACGGATAGTAGCGCATTTGACCAAACGAGGAACGACAAAATAGACCTGAAATGAACCCAGTGCACTGTACTTACAGAACATTCCGGCAGGTCGTCCAAAAACCCACCAGTCGTTATATTCACACGAAAGGGCGCCGGCGCAATTTCGTTTGCAAGACTTAGGGAAAAGACCGAGAAAATCCAGTGTGCCAGAATCAGAACCGTGACAGAGATAGCCATAGCGCCTTGAGGTATTGATCAAAGTGGATTCTCAAGCAAGAACAAAAGTGGAGGGTACGAGACGAAGGATCAATTATGGGGATACTCCTGATATGAGCACCGGAACAGCGGAACTGAAGCACACCAGGGCTACAACATTGGCGTAAAACAGGTGAACTACCTCGTATCCTATGTCGCTATCGAACGCAGCCGAGCGAGGCGCATTAATACCAAACCTACCTTAGTTTAGGCGCTACAGAATGAGGCTGGACTACTACAGGGGTGTGAAGTTTCTCGGAAGATTTTTATGGAAGGGGGCGCAGAATTTAGGAGCCTCTCTCCATCTTTTCGGCATTTGGTACCGGTGAAACAAGAACGTTCTACAATGCTTGGTACCGAGTCTCCTACCGTGCTTCCGATTGACGAGCCCACCCACAGCCATTAAACGCCACTTTGCGCACACATGTCACTCGGAAAACGGCTTCTCCAGAGACAAGCATACCCCGCTCACCATACCCGCAGTTCACGTCGAAAGACCCGACCCGCCCGCGGCTGCCCGGTCACAGCGAAACATGAACCTCTGCTAGGCGTCCACGCGCATTGAGTTTGATGTTCTTCGCAACGCAGACCGCACGTGCGCGTATGTTGTCAAGGATCTTGATCATACATCCGGACTGCAGAAGACGGGGTTGGTGATACCATTGAGAACAGCGTGCGAATTAAGAACACAATCGGCGTTTGAGAAACAGGCACTGGAACAGCACAGCTGGAACGTGCTCGTGGTGATCATCAGTAGCTAGGAATGGGCGTGGGTGTCGAATACTGAACATTACTGGATAGTCGTGAGTAGCTTGCCCCTCTTACAAGCATATAGTCCCCGTCTCCCCGCCGGCACGGGCGCCTAGAGGCATTAACGACAAGTGGGAAGAAAAAGACCCTGGTAAGAAATAAACTCTCCGAAAATAATGCTTCATTTGCTGAGTTTCTTTATCAGCAAGAGGGTACGTAATCAAGCAAAAGCCACAAACAATGGCATCTACGAATTAGATTTTGTCGATCGCGAGCAACCGTATCAGGCTTCCCGTCTTAGGGGGTGGCAGTAATCAGACATGGGTTTACTCTCGCAAACCCATGTTCTTCCTTGGAACGGGAGAGCTACAGTTAGCCAATAGGCCCCAGGCTGCATGTCTGCAGCTGACGTTAGCGTGACGAGTCGTTCCAAGTTTCAAGCAGAATGACTCGCATCCCGGACACCACTTCCCGACGACTTGTGAGCCATCACAAAAGTCCTCCGCAGCAAGTCCGTCACTCCTCACAAGTGCGAGTGAGTCAGTTCACTCTTCCGTTCACTGTGCAAGCTTTGAGATATCACAGAAAATTGCGAAACGGTCTACGTCAGTATCGTACCACGGAGCACAAACGCTTGGTGCATGATGAGAGCTTGTGACAGGATGCCTTTCTTGTCTCACCTCCGTGTCGCTTTCAACGTGTTTGGCTAGTCGCGTGGCTGTTAAACTCTCAAAGGCATGGGTGTCCTGGAGCTGGGAACCGGATACTACTACACTGCTACTCCCAAACTATGCAGGCGAAGCGCGGTAGAGGGGACGACCTGGATCCATTGTACTGCCGTTTGATCAGTAAGGAAGACATCATATGATGGTTTCGGGAAGACAGGATCCAGCTGATGCTGATAAGTATTAGTAAACATCATTCGCTTCGTGCTTCTTTTTTGTTGTACTCGTTCAAAACTTACTCAAGCCAGGCTTTTCTATCATCGCGGTCTTCTTCAGTCTAAGAAAAGGTCACAAAGTGTAAGTGACGATGCCTGCCGGCCTCTGTATAGTCCAGTCAATATTATTGTACTGCTCTTTCCTTAGCTAGAATACCAGCCCGGACGGACAGGTAGATTTATCGGCCTAGACACACGGGAGAATTGTAACCCGAGGATTGATGGTGATAGAGTCATGACACGTCGGGATCCGTGTATGTTTAGCGACTGGGCGTTGGCGCAACCTCCGGCGATGCGTGCGCACAGAGCATACTGCGACTCAATGAGTCCAGATTCTGGTTTGACTCTGGTCGCAGTGCGATCCGTTGAATTGACTTAACACATCCTTGCCGTTTGAAATCTCGATGATGGCCGCTGCTTATTCAATGACTAAACTACGACTACCCCCGGCTCGGTTCTCTTTATTCGTTTCCGCGCTATGTAACAAGCTTTGATAATTTTCAGATATGTGAGTTAAGCGAAATATCGCATCGATCATGGTACTTGGGCGCGATACTCCTTGGAGCTTACTTTCAGTGAAGGATTCCTCAAGCTCGTTAATCTCGACATCGTTGGAAAGAACAGATAAAAACATTGCTTCCAGGTAGGATGCATTCTCAGTTGTTGTCATGGGCACTGCCGACTGTTCCGGTCTAGTATAATTTGAGGCACGGCCATGTTTCTGGCATAGGTATAACACGATCCGACTGCGCAGACATGAGCCAATATGTCATTCAAGAAGATTCGAACCCTGCAAAACGTGAGTTCAGTGCATTTTTTGCACGTACTAAAGCTGGTGTGCACGTCCGTTAGTGTTAGATAGATTGATGCTTGTTGTATCTGCCTACACTACCTTTCCGTTATGCAGATTCCGAGGATAGTGATACGTTTCCTCTAGATTGAGCATGACATTTAGTGAGAGTCGTTGATCATCAGGCAACATAAATATAATGTACATGGCACCGCTATGAAAACACGATATCGCTTCGCGGACTGGACATATCCTCGTATCTCTCTCTACTAAATTTCTTCACCAAGACATGTATCCATTATTTGTACCGTTGACGCTATTATCTGCTGTGTTCAGCAAAGCCGTAGCCTACCCCAAGTCCGTACCCGGTCCACATACCAGAAAGCTTGTTACAGTCGACATCCAAATCGCACCAAGCATTCCTCACGTCATGACCAAGGGCTCAGCTACAACTTCACCAGCAACAGAGCGCGTGTCTTACTTTGTAGCGGATGGTCTCGCCATCACCAACGGCGACATCATTTACAGCACCGAAGACGACATCATTCGCCACATGAACGCACAGAAGCGCTCACTCTCCTATTTCAAATGGGACAACCAATCCCTCTGGCCTGCCGGCCGCATCGAGTACAAATGGCAGTCTGAGCATGCGAAGGGACTTGGCAGGTTAGAAGCGTGGCAAAAGGCGACGAAGAGGTGGACGAACATGTTGCCTTTTCTGCAGTTCATTGAACATCCTGCCAATGATATATTGACGAATGATATTGTCACTTTGGTCCCGACCGAGGGACAGGGTGCGTGCTTTAGTCCGATTGGCAGGGCGCAAGGGAAAAAGGCCAATCGGATCATGCTCGATGACGATTGCGGCGGTGTCGGTACTTATACTCACGAACTTGGTCATAGTAAGTGGTCTCCTTGCACTTGTAATGCTTCGTATGTTCTTAACGTCGCCTAGCCCTTGGACTGTATCACGAGCACACGCGTCCCGATCGCGATGACTACGTTATCATCAACTGCAACAACGTTATGGAATCGTCTGACGGGTCCCCAACAGATTGTAGCCAAGACTGCAGTGGCTATGGGTGCAATTTTGCTAAACTTTCTAGAACTGAGGCAGACTGGTCGGGCCCGTATGACTCGCTTTCCATAATGCACTACAGCCCGGACGAGTTCGCAAATGGAAACGGACCAGCTATCGAAGCAAGATCCGGCGTGGCTACCCCCCGGCGTCATACGTTTCCCACAGCGCAAGACGCTAAGAGGATTTGTCGCTTGTACGAAGAGCAGTGCAATGGCGTATGCGGAGATGGCGTGACTGATCCTGGAAATGGAGAAGAGTGCGACGATGGAAACAACTTTGACGGGGATGGATGCAGCTCTAGCTGTAAGCGTGAAAATTGAAGAGTGTGATCGGGTAGGCGTACACCTGACAATTTATTAGTGTGTTGGGTTAGAGGGCGTTTGTTTAGATCTTGTTTTCTTTAGCATGTAGACCGACTGCCGCAAGGTATTTCCTTTCATGCATAGTGTTCTTTTTATGTCTTCTTTGAAATTCTAAACGGCTTGGAGTAGACAATAAGGATGCTCGTTCTCGGCCATTGCACTTTACTTTACTTCCGACGCTTCGCCTCCTTCAAGACTCTACCTTTGGAGCTTCTGCAACACCGCGTCTCCAAGCCGTACCTAAGTCCAAATGCCAGAGTTCGCAACAAGCAAGTAACTTGCAAGCCTTGCTTGCTTAACTTGGCTTGGCACCAAATTAAGCAAGTCAAGTTCATCTACATAAAAACATCAAGCAAGTCAAGTTCACCTAGAAAACTTGCTTGGTAAACTTGAATAACTTAAGTAACCTAATAAGATTTTTGTTGTTGCAGGAAAATAAAATTGTGATAGGATTTTTGGTGTTGCAGTAGGTGGGCCTATGCTTACGATACGGTACGTAGTTAGCTTACGTGCCCTAACACGTTGTGATGGGCTGGAGCCCAGTTGGTGAATCCTCGATGATATCTCGGTCACGTGCGCGAGGCGCACTGTCCACAGAACCCGGGTGCCCCCCTGAGCACCCGGATTCTGTGCAAGCGAGCCCGGCCGAAGGTTATCCCGAGCCGCCGCCCCCTGAACGACCTTCAGAACCCTAGCTACCTGTAGTTCTCTTCTCCATCGAATACAACTCCAGTATACCTGTGCGATAGCTCCCCGAGCGTAGCCCCTTACAGCAACATGGGTACCTAAATAGCCTCTATAATATAAGAGATATAAGAAAACCCACTATAGCAAAGTTATATGTCTATCTTAGAGCTACAAACAAGCTATAAACCGTTCAGATTAGGTAAGTATACGCGGAGGTATCGCGGTTTTAGCTACCCGATGTGGAGACCCAACTTACCAGCCTAGGCCCACCTACACTATTTATATCACGTACCGTCGTACATCAATACAGCGCTTAGATTGGTCTTAGCATTTGCTTTCTATTTTGTTTTCCTTTATAGATCTTGTCTACATTACACACAGGAAGGGACAGCGCTGCGCTCTCTTCCCACGCGGAAGGTGGTGAAGTGGGGCTTCGCTTGCTGACCTCATGAGGCAGACATATATTGTATAGAGCATTCTAGCACTGTTTTTCCTACGGAACGAAGTTGATCCCGTTCTGCCCGTACCGGGCAACTGGTGTTGCGTCTGGGCTATACGATGGGTGCGGCGCTCAGTGTTCAAACATTCGGGCCTCCTCACTGCCGGGACCCCACTTCGGATTCGCCTTCGCCCTAGTGAAGAACTAATCGTACGCCGATGTAATTGGCCGCTCACGTGACGTTACTAAGCCTGTCGGTATAACCCTCCGTCGAAATGCCGCCTTGATTCAAGCAGGAGTGCCGACTACAACCCTGCCTACTGTTGTCGGTTCATAATACCCTGACGAGGCTCGATGGCGAAGATCCAGCCGGGACTAGAACGCATTGCCGTGCTCCTAAGAAACGTCAACTTTCCGTGGCGCGCTATCCATGTGGCAGGCACCAACGGCAAAGGCTCCATTTGCCAATATGCCTCATCCTTACTCGAAGGGAGGGGTCTCAAGGTCGGCAAATTCACGTCACCGCATCTAGTTGATAGGTGGGTTGTCTCTTATGACGTCCACGTCTGCAGCTAACAAGCCTAGATGGGATTGCATATCCATCAACGGGAAGCCCGTTGAAGAGAAGACGTTTCGCAAGGTCGAAAAGCACTTTCTCAAGATCAATGCGAGCCGCGAAATCGGTGCTTCTCCCTTCGAAATCTTGACCGCCATAGCTTTCACAATCTTCAACGACGCCAATGTCGACGTCGGCGTGGTTGAGGTAGGCATGGGCGGTAGGCTCGACTCAACCAATATCCTCAACAACCAAGCCATTTCCGTCATCTCAAAAATCGCTCGGGACCATGAAAGCTTCCTCGGAAACACCCTTGCAGAGATTGCTTTCCATAAAGCGGGCATTTTAAGGCCCAACGTCCCCTACCTCATCAACCCAGCAAACCAGGCAGGGGTCGTCAACGTCATCAAAGACTACGCCACGGAGATCGGAGCAGGTCCCTATCTCTCCAGTCGCAGTTTCAACCTCGAAAACAAGTTGTATGGTTCATCGAAATGGAATCGCATCCGCAGGGCCATGGCGTCCTTCCAAGAAGAAAATGTGAAAATGGCCGTGGTTGCAGTCATGCAAACATTGGCGAGCATGGAGCAGGCCGTGGAACCCGTAGATATTGCCAACTCGCTGCTAGCCAATGTGAAAGTACACCATGGGCGTTTAGAGAACGTTCAAGTTCCTCCAATCTTTAGCGATCCAGCCGAGGGGAGGAATGGCATCTTGGTAGACGGAGCTCACAACCCCGATGCTGCTATAGCACTGGATGACTTCGTCCGAGACAACTTGAGGCTAGGGAACACACCCAGCAAAGACCGCCCACAATCTGGATGGCCTGTCACGTGGGTCCTAGCCATGAGCGAAGGTAAAGACGCGCGCGAATATCTTGCCAAACTGCTCAAGCCGGATGACAAGGTTGTCACTACCACGTTCGGCCCAGTCGACGGTATGCCCTGGGTCAAGCCCATGGATCCTAGGATATTGCTCGAAATCGCCAAGTCTGCCGAGCCACAGATCACCGGTGTACATGTACCTATTCCTGGCGCGCTTCGAGCGCTTAGTGCAGCAAAGTACATGTCGCAGCAGCTGGCCCCTTGGGCACCTATTGTTCTGACCGGCAGTCTCTATCTCGCGGGCGACTTTCATCGCGAATTGCGGCCACGGTGTTCCAAAACATGGTGCTCGGATAATAATGAGGTGACCGCAGCCGACAGAGAGGCGCTACTCAAGATGCAGGCTCAGGAGTGTGAGCGTGTCAGCGCTGTCCTAAACTCTGGATTCGGGCTTGGCAACCTTGAGACCGAGGAACAAAGCAGACAGCAAGACGAGATCGATGTCTTCATCCGCAAAGTCTAGGGTCTCAAAATAGAGGGAAAATGTCCTACGGAACAGCGCTAAGCAGCATTGGGCACGTTCAGAAAAATCCTGCTAGGCAACCTCTGGGCGCAGTGGAACGCTTTGAACGCGATGGGGAACAGTGCAGTACATATTGCATTCCCTACCTTCTTGTCGACTAAAAGCATTGAAATGAAATAGATGGCAACCACAGTACATGTATCTTCTACAACGACTTGCGCACTCTTACAAAGTGCATTTATAAGACTCCGCCTTTGTCACATCTAAACCGGCAGACAAAAGGCGCGCTTTCTCCGGGTAAGGGCACAGAATTCTTTCGTACTGCGTCCCATTTGTATCCTTGAAGTTGATCGGCAGCGTGTCCGGAATGACGCCTCTCTCCACCCAGTCGACCAGCGCTTGGAACGTCGCTGTAGGCTGTCCTCCTACTCCACCAGCACAGTGCGCTAACCCTGGGACTTCGAAGTAGCGGAAGAAGTCCTTGACATTTGGTGTCTGCTCTGTGGCACGATCGTAGTATTCGTTGGTTCCTTGTCGAAGAATGAGACCGTCGGCCTTCAACGTTATTCAAGTCAGCATAGAAATAATGCGTGCGCGACAGACTCTAACGAAGGAAGAGGAGATTGCGGGGTTGTAACCTACCATGCCATGATAAGTAATCATTTTGCCGCCCGCATCGCGAAATGCAGAGAGGTCAGTATCAAACGTCCCAATGATCGAGTCAAACTCCTGGACAGAAACCTGAAATAGGCGTGCGTATTCCTCAACTGAGGTAATCTTTGTATAGTCCCAATCAGGATCCTTCTTGACCATGAACTTCAGCCAGGCTTCTCCGAGTCCAGTAGGCGATCCTATACAAGTTCCATTCAAAGTGCAACTTGTCATCGCTAAGCCCAGAGCTGCAGTGGTGCTCTGATCTCCAGTGCCACTAAGTCGAGATTGGTAATCGAGACCGTAGTAGAGGAAATCTCCACTAGCTTTTCGGGGCCCTGTCCAGCTAAGGTTGGCGATAGTGGCAGCTGCGTTGCTGATCGTAGTAGTTTCGTTATTGCAGTTAACAATCTTACCAACCATGGAGAAGGGATCGAAGGAGCAGGCAGCAGGGTCACTAATAATGCCATCGGTGACGCCATCCTGTGGATCGCAAGTTGCAATGGCACCAGCTGTGACCGCGTCTAATTCGCATTTTGGGGGAAATTGCCCGGTGAGCTCCATCATGACCTGTGGCCACGAAACCGCAGGAAAGAGACGAGCCCAGTTAAGAGCTGGTGCCGCCGCGGCAATGCCGTCATACGCTTCTGGATAGCGTTGGGCAAGCATCATTCCTTGGCGGCCACCTTGTGAACAACCTGTAAAATAGGAGTACTCCGCAGGCTGGCCATAGAACTCCTTAATGAGTTCTTTCGCAATGGTAGCCTAAATGGGGACTTAGTGATAGCCATTACAGCTCGAAGTCTCTTCATACGTACCTGATCCTTCAGAGATACGGAGGCAAAGTTCTGGAGAGCATACAGGTTTACATTTCCTGGACTGTTCAGAGCCCACGGATCTGGTTCAAGGCTCAGGCCGATACCCCCATCGGTAGTGGTTGCAACATAGCCGTTTCCAAGAGCTCCAGCCATGGCAGTATATGACAGAAAGAACCGACCAGCGACCCAGCCGCCACCTCCGGTAGCCTGAAGCCGTCCGTTCCAGTTCTTCATTGGGAGCCATGTCTCAACATTGATTGTGTCGTTCTGACCGGGATGCGTGTATGTGACGGTGACGTTGCAGTAGTCAATGTTTCTCACACTGATGGAAGGGTTGTTGAAATAGTACTGATCCGATACTTCGGAGGAGTAGTTTAAAACGAGGTTGGCGGAAAGATTCAGGATCTCGGCACCGAATACCGTGGGATATGCTATGGCGCTTGCAGCACACGCTGAAGCTGGGATAGAAGAGACGTTCATCTTGCCAAACAGGAATGACGATGAGCGGACACGTCGATTGAAAGAAAAGGCAAAGAGGTACTGGACAAGAAATCTGCAAGCTTGCATCTTTATATCGAAGATGCTAAGGGACGCGAATTGTACCAATTTACCGTCTAACCTGCTAATTTGGCCAAACGCTAGTAGGGGACCTCCCATTGATCATGTACATAGTCCGCCGGCCGAATCGTGGAGCGCTGGAAGTGGAGCGTTTACGCGTTAATCATCGCTCGTATACATCATACGACGTGTTTGGAATACGAGAGATGCATGATCTCACAAATTCTGAAAGGCACTTAGAAAGAATCGAATGCAACGCTAGGCTTCAGTATCGAGAAGAGCATTATTTTAATTCTGAGATGCAGCACAGCCTCAATAAGCTTGTTCTCATACCGGCAAGCAGCTAAATGCCCTCAAACAAGGTCCTGAAGCACCTTGTTCGGCCAATCGAGCCAGTCTAACCAATACGTGCCAAGGAACCGTGTGATCTCGGAAATGAGCATCTGACCTGCATTGCGTACGAGCCATATGTGACGTCTTCGATGGAGGAGAACCGCGTAGTGGCAAAGAATGATGAGTGCCTCGGGCCTCCGTTTCATGAGAAGTTTAGTGAAGACGCCTGACAGCAAAATAGGCCAGGTCCAAATCAAGCCTGGAGCACTCTCGGGAGATGTCTCTCCTATCGATGACGCAGACTGATAAACGAGCTGTAGACTCTCCACAGCTTGACGACAAGCTTGCTCGGATTCTGGGCCCATAACTGCGTCGTCAAGCAGGTTATGCAATCGGTCGGCGACGAAGGTAGCTTGCTCATGAGGTTGTAAAGAGGCAGTATGTAATGCGCGGTCCGCACGACTAAGCACAGACGAAATGTTGGAGTGCAACAGCAGCTGCCATGATTCACTAGTAACGGCACGCACGCCCCGGTGAAGATTCAGAAACGTAACGAACCTGTCCAAAAATCCACCTGCATCCGTTTCCGAGGCTGTGACTGCTTCCCCGAGGGTATGAAGGCTGAGAAGGCTCGAGAATATCAGCATAGGTGCACAACTATCAGTCGTGATCTCGGCCAAGGAGCTATTAAACAGACTTAATGCTTCGGTTTGGAGCAACGTGTAAGAGGCTGAAGCCTTGGTTAGTAGTACTTGGCCTGTGGCCTTCGTTATAGCTGGTTGGGATAGGCTGCAACCCTCGGAGCGTTGTCGGGGCTTCATCGGCGCTCCACGGACCCTTAGAAGTTTCTCGAACCTAGCACTACGTGATACATAGACTCAGCGCAAGCGTAGTGTAGCTTCTCTATCGAATTCATTACTGTTATACCTTGCACTTATGGTCAACCCATCGCACTCTTACACAACGTGGCTTCCTCGCGATAATGACTCGCTTGGGAAGTCCTTATATGGCTCAGATGCAGAGCAGAAAGCGCCAGCATTTGATACATGGCATACGGGGCAGAGAGCGCAGTAGGCATAATAGCACGAAAACTCTCATGATCAATACTCCCTCCCTCGTAAACGCTCGGACCTGTGTCGAGGATGAATTGGCTGAACAGCTCCATGTGGTGCATATTGAGAGGCGAACACAAGGCGTCAGATTGCACTGATGGCGTTGTCGTGGAACCTAGTCGAGAGATGGAGGCTGCGGATAGTGAAGGCGTTGACACGTTAGAAAACAAGCCTAAGGAGGCTGGCAAATGGGGGACAGTAACGGGTGTGGTGGTGGTTGAGTCGACAGTGGTGGACAAGGACGAACGAAAAACCGGGACCGAGGATGATCGAGCTGTGCTTGGCGATGAAGATTGATAAACGCAGGCCCGAGAAAAGACCAAGCAGTTGGCGCAATTGGGACGGGCCCAGTGTGTCCAACAACCAAGTTACTTGACTTGCTTGCTTGACATTACTTGATTACGTAACAAGCAAGTAAAGTAAAGGCTCATTCAAGCAAGCACAAGTAAGGATTTTCACATTACTTGAAGTAACTTCAAGTTGCTTGACAGAATTGCTGTACTAGGCATGTCGAAGATGAGTTAGGTGACGCTAGCTAAGCGAACCAATTATGATTTCACCGGGTGGCACCCGGCAAAATCGTGATTGGCTGGAGTCGCACTGGGAGCCAGATGTGCCGGGAAAAATCTGACACCTCCAGTAGAATTTGGTAGCCTTGTAACTTTATTTACAAGGCTACCAAATTCTAAGCTTATATGTCTTCTCACCTGTTCTTTCAGCCTCGTGGAAGGTCTACACGTTCTTCTCTGCCTAAAACCCCCTCCGAGCCCCCTAGCTCTACCTCAGAGAGCCGCTTAGGAACCCCAAGTTCGGTTTCAACTCCAACCCATGAGGCCTCTACACCAATCACCCGTGAAAGAGAGCTGCCGACATCTACTCAATGCACTTTCCATATTGAATGGGACAAAATTCGCTATGAAAGAAAGCCACTGCCATTAATTCGATATCGTCAGCCTCACAAGCGTACCCTCAACTCTAAAGCCCAATCCTTGGCAATCTACAAACATGGCGCGCAGCTTACAACAGATGGAGATAACAAGTTCTGGCTCTGCAAGTACTGCCATATTGGTGGCCAGCATGATTCCGCGCTATTCAACAGTGGGGCTACTACTAGTATCATTTATCATCTAAAGCATCTGCACAAACTCGAAGAATTCGGCTACAAACGAGTGGCGTCAAATCCGTTCGATATGGCTAAGGGAACAACGAGCTCCATACCATATCTTGGAGGCCGGCGCTTGATGTTTAACGACTCTCAGTTCAAGAAAGAGTTTATTGACTGGGCTATTGATCTTGACCTTACCTTTCGACAAGCGACGCATCAACGCACCCGTAACATCTTTTCCAGCTGCCTAGAGGATATAGATAAGGTTCTGCCAAAAAGCCCGTCAACTCTTAGCACCTGGATTGAAGAGATGTGGGACGGTGATGGTGGGAGGCGTACTTGGCTGAAAGAAAAGCTCCATCTTACCAAAAGCAAGATCCATATCTCAACTGATACCTAGACGTCTGAAGAAGGAACGAACTATGTGGCAGTTGTTGCTCACTTCCTGGACGAGAAGCATAAGCTGCAAACAGCTCTTCTCGACTTCCGGCCTCTAAAGGGCCCTCACACTGGCGAGAACATTGCAAAGGTGCTGTCGACGGTTATCGAGTCGAACGATATACCTGCTACCGGTGGATTCTTCATGATGGACAACGCTAGCAATAATGACACATGTATTGAAGAGCTAGCAAAGCAGTATCCCACAGTCACGCAGCAGAGCCGCCTTCGATGCGTCGGCCATATCCTGAATCTCATTGTCAAAGCTCTCCTCTTTGGGCAGGGTGTCAGCAAGCTGGAGAAAGAGCTCTGTGGCGCATCCGACGATGAGCGATTTGAGATATGGAGGAAGCAGAGCTTTATCGGTAAGCTCCACAACTTCTGCGTGTGGATTAACCGGAGTGACCAGCGGCGGGAGCTTCTGAAACGGTATATCCTGCAGGCGTACAATCAAGGCAGCATCGAACAACTCTACACTAGGTTATTGGTCGACGGCGGCGTCCGCTGGAACTCTGTGTATGCCATGATCGAGAGAGCTCTCAAGCTCCGCCACGCAATTGATCTATTCTTTCTCCACTATAGTCATAGTGGTGAGGGATACGATATCTCACAGGATATAATTACTCCGCATGATTGGGTCAATTTGGAGCAGTTCTTCAATATCTTGAAACCATTTAAAGACCTGACTAAACGCATGGAAGGCCGGGCTAATAAAGCTGGCCTTGAAGGAGCACATGGCTCACTCTATGAGACACTGGAGTCTCTTGATATCCTCTTTAAGAAACTCCAGGAGGCTGGAAATTTCGCAGACGATCACCCTGAGGAAGTTTCTGAATACTATTCATGCGCCATTGATACTGCCCGCACCAAGCTTGAAGGATACTACACCCTTACGGATGCTACGCCAGCGTACCGATGCGCCGTTGCCCTGCATCCTGCGAACAAATTTACCTATTTCGAGCTCGAATGGAGTCATGAGAAGAAATGGATCGCTGAGGCAAAGCGGGTAGTGCAGGATGTGTACGCACGCTACGAGGAAGCAGCTGCGGAAGTAGACATAGCTGAATCAACACAAGAAGAGGATAATGAGGTTACTACTGATAGCGATACTGCGCTTGATCTTTTCCAGCAAGCTCGGAAGCGTCGTCAGCGGCTCGCCGCTATCTCAACGTCTGTTACGCGAGGAAGGAAGCGTACAAAACTCACCTCTGAGCTTGATGAGTTTATGGCTAGGGCTAATAAGGCCGATCAGGATGTCGAGGATCCTCTGGAGTGGTGGGTTCACCATGCATCTGATTACCCTGTGCTCTCTAAGATGGCGTTTGATTTGTTCAGTTGTCCGCAGGCTTGCTAATCAATCAATCTCTTGGCAACATTGTTTCAACATGTTGTTTCAATGTCAATTCAACTGGCCTACTGCTGCTGACATAAGCAATCGCAATTCAACTCAACTTTACCCCCAGTTGATTGACAATAAGTTGAGATGACTAGTGCGCCGCATGCTATTGGCTGCGTCGCTAACCGAGGACGTCTTAGCTTTCGTTTGGACGCGACACGACGCGACGCGTCAACCGGCGCATCTGCTAGCACATCTATCAAGCATCTCATACATTGTCATGGATTTAGATATCGTCGACGCCTCCTCTATCGACACCCACTTCCGTACTGTGCAGTCCGGGCCACCCACCTCTACAGAAGCCCGGTTCGAGCCGTCTGCGTCCACCCATTCTCTTGCAGATGATGACCACTACCAAGATATCGTCTGGGCGCGACTACCGGGCTATATACGTCCACCAACCAGCGACAAGTTGCGCGCTTGGTTTTGGAAATACGGTTACTATGTTCTGTCAAAACTTGGGGGGTGTAAGAGTTATCGTATTGTCAAGGTGAGATCTAAGACTAAGTACTGACGCTAATTAGTCATGCAACATCAGTCACATGATCACTGTCTTCATCGCCCATCTTGACACTCCCCCTCGATGAGGGCAGTGCTCCCCCTTGATGCTGTCGGCTATGCACAAGTTGTTCCGTGCTCCGGGAGCCGTTGCCTTAATCATCGATCCTCCGCAAGCCAACCATCCGTCGAAAGGACTCAAACTTCGTCTTGCCTAATGGCTTGGTAAGTCCATCTGCTGGGTTCAACCCACCAGCAATCCATTCCATCTTTACCAGCCCCTCTTCCACCTTCTCTCGTACGAAGTGGTACCGGATGTCCACGTGCTTGGTTCTTGCATGGTACATTGGGTTCTTGGCCAGGGCCAGAGCCCTCGATTGTCTCCGAGAATGCTCACTGGCTCCGGCGTGCTCGATTGAGAGTGGCCAACTCGTAGCTGACACAGCAGTCGTTGCAGCCATATTGCTTCCTTCGCGGCCTCAGACTCTGCGATGTACTCGGCCTCACAGCTGGACAGCGCTACAGTGGTCTGACGCTTCGACTTCCAGCTGATGGCGGTGCCGGCAAATGTGAAGACGTAGCCCCCAGTCGATCGGCGGTCGTCGTCTCTTCCCCAGTTCGCGTCCGTGTAGCCCGTCAGAACGTCTGGGCGATCTTGCGTGTCTATCACCAGGCCGTAGTCACTGGTACCCTTCAGGTACCGAAGAAGCCTCTTCAAGGCCGCACGGTGTTTCTCTGACGGGTTGGCGGCAAGCGGCCTAGCTGACTGACCGCGTATGCGATATCGGGGCAGTACACAGCATCAAATACATGAGGCTACCAACCGCTCGCTGGTACCACTTCCGATCCTGCGAGTCTGACGCCTCTTTACTAGGTTCCAACACAAGATTCTCGTCCATCGGAGTCGCCACAGAAGTGCAATCTGCCATGCCAAAGGTCTTTAGCACCTTCTCAGCGTATGCGCGCTGGGTCAACTTAATCTTACTGCCCCATGAGGTATCTTCGCGGATCACCTTCACTCCTAGATAGTGGGCGACTGGACCGAGATCACTCATCTTGAAGTGCTCGGACAGAGCGCTCTTGACGGATGCAATCTCCTCCTGATCCTTCCCCAAGATCAAGAGGTCATCCACGTATGTCGCAATTACCAAGCGTTTGTCTCGATTGACGAACACGCTTTGGTCTTCGGAAATTGCTACAAACCCCATGGGCCGCAGCGCCTGGCTTAAGGTAAGGTACCAAATCCGAGGAGATTGCTTGAGCCCGTACAGGGCCTTATTCAGCTTGCAAATCTTCCCAGGGTACTGATCCTTAATATTCGGTGGTAGTTCCATATAGACGTCCGTGTCGATCTTGCCATATAGAAAGGCTGTCTTGACATCCATCTGCTCGATCGACCAGCCCAGCAGGCAGGCCAGAACGAACAAAAGTTTGTAGCTCATCGGCTTCACCACCGTCGCAAATGTCTCCAGAACATCGACGCCTAGCTCTTGTTCAAAGCCCCGCGCGCACCATCGGGACTTGTAACGAGTGACTTCTCCATCGGCGTTGGTCTTGACCTTGTATGCAAACTTGCCGGTGAGAATTGACACTCCTGGTGGAGGATCCACGACATCCCACACCTAGTTGGCTATAATCTCCTTAATTTCTTCTTCCATAGATGGAATCCATCTTGATGCGTCCGCACAGGTAACAGCATCCTCGTAATTCTTAGGTTCGTATGCGTCACTGATCGCATGATCAACCACATGGTTTTCTAGTTTATCTTGATTCTTTTCCAGCGCTGACAGCGCCGCCAGACACTCAGTAATCACACTCCAGTCATCGTGGTCCACCGACACTAATGAATGTGCCACCTGGGCCTGTATGTTTTCTTCTGAAATGCGTTCCGCTTCATTCACCTCGCCGTCGTGGGCGATTAGCACGAGTCCTCCATCGATCGCAGCAGGCTTCACTGACAAAGCCGCCAGAGTCTCCCCTTCGATCGTGGAGGACCGTCGCCGCTTAGCCCTATGCGCAAGGGTATCTTGAATCATGGCTTCATCGCCATGGGCTGGCTGACGCGCGGTTTCGGGGACTTCTCCCCCTGGACCAAATACGTCCTCATTGAAGTGCAGATCTCGAACTAACTCAACTCGCTCGGTGCAGGTGTTCCATACGCGATACTGATGCTTGGCAATGCAGCCGAGGAGATAGCACTTGTCCGCCCGGGGATCAAGCTTTTTGAATTTTGCGTAGTCATTTCGGGGTCGGGGCTTCCAGCATTCACAGCCCAATACTCGCAGATGCTCTATCGGAGGTGGCTTTCCATACAGCCGCTCGTAAGGTGGCTGATCTCCAGGGTTGGCCGAGGTTGGGCAATAGTTGACTATATCGGTGACACTGATGAGGATCTCGGCAAAGCAATTTTGACCAAGATTCGACTCATCTAGTATCGCTCTCACTGCGGTGAACAAGATGTTCATGCCCCTCTCTGCGACCCCGTTCTGCTCTGGATTATATGGTGCGGTGGGCTCAACTCTGACGCCCGTTTCCTTGAAAAATTCGTTCAAAACACGATTGTCAAACTCTCCGCCATTATCTCTTCGGACGGCTAGCAGTTGGTGTTCTAGTTCTTTCTCAATCTGGGTCTTCCAGATCCGTAGTTCTCTTGCTGCATCATTCTTGTGTCGCAACACTCTCACCCATCTGTATCTAGTGTAGTCGTCCGTAATGGTGAGAGCGAAGCGATCATTTACTTTCTTCTTACCATCATATGCGTTGACTGGTCCCGCCAGGTCGACAAAGACCCGTTGTAGAGGCTTCGTGCTCCTTGTTCCAGAGTTCTTAAAGTTTCTCCTCTTCATGCCTGCTCGGCTACAGGATTCGCATGGCGGTAGTGGATCCTCTGCGCTTGATACATTGAGACGTCGTAGCAGCCTCCTCAGCCTCCCTTCTCCGAGGTGTCCCAACCGGCGATGGTGAGTCTCGATGGGCACGTCTGAGGGTATTGCTGTAAAGGCATATGGCTGCGGCCGTTGTTCTCGGGTGGCCTTTGCTTTCGGTCGTGACAGTACGTATAGGTCGGTGGTGCGGCAGTCAGCCGTGGCGATTACTTGTCCAGTCTCTGTACGTACGATCTCGAGGTCGTGGCCATCCATCATAAAGCGTATGCCTGCCTTCTCCCCTTCCTTCGTCAAGGTCAACGCTCGACAAGAGATGATGTTGAAGGGGAGACCCGGCGCATACGAAACGTTCTGGATGGTGAAGGTCTTGTTGTAGACTATGCCATTGACCTCGCAGGCAATCGGAATCTTGACCGTCCCGATACCAGCGACTGTCACGCCTCCACCGACCCCCATGACCCGCTTTCCGGGTGGTGCCGGTCTCATCGTCTCAAAAAGCGACTGTCTTCCAGTCACGTGTGTATAGCTTCCGCTGTCGAGGACCCAATCGTCTGGGGCCAGTCGTCCGTTGATGACACCTAATGCTAGTGGCAACCATGGGCCGTTGGTCTCTGCCCATGTCTCTGCCTCGACTTCCATCCACCATCTTGTACCCAACGCCACCAGTACGTGAGCAAGAGCAGTCCACTGGAACAGACATAGCACGTATGCGATGACCACACCCCAGTAAAGACTCTCCCCACGCACTGATAGTCAAACGGAGGTGGATCCTTGCACGAAGTCATTTTCTTCGATTCTTTGTTTCTTTGTGGCATTCTCTGGGTACGCTGCCTCCGTACCAGATCTCTTTCTGCCTCTATTTTCAAGTTGTTCACTGTACCATTTCGGCCTATATCTGGCGTTCTGGTTCATTCGATAACATCCTTCGGGCCCTGCGATGGCTAGGTGGCCTGTTCTCTGGCAGAACGTGCATCTCTTCTGATTATAAACGGTTAGAGTGATGCTGTCATCGTTGTTCATCTGGCGTTGTTCTTCTTGAATTACTTCTCGAGCTAAGGTCTGAAAGTCCTTTGGATCAGTGACCGAGACGATAGACTCATCTGAGCTCAAGACAGCAACCTTGTTGTCGAACGCACTGGTGAGTGCAGTGAGGAAGTGGGAGTTGACCTGCCATGCTGGCAGGCGATAGCCTGTGTCGACTGCCATCAACTTCTCCTGCACCTCCACTAATTTGTTTCGAAACTGGGTGACGCTTCCAGTACTTGCAAGCGTAGTGTTGAAGAACTCCTTGAACAACGACCAGACGATCGCGCTCCCACGCTGGCGATTACGCTCACTCAGGAGTGTCATCGCCTGTGAAGGCAGCTTGATGCCCTCACTCTGGAGTGATGACCCAATCGTCCCATCGCAGGCAGTATGAAGGATGCCCATGGCATTTCGACTCAGTCGTCTGAACTTGACTGATACTTTCTGATCTGTGATGGTCGAAAGCGCATCAAACCTGCCTTCGTACATCTCCCAGAGGTTATGTATCTCAGCCATGGTCTGGAACGATTTCTTCCACCCCTCATAGTTGGTGACGCCTACCAACTTCTTGAAGCCTGACTCGCTCACGGCTTTGCCAGCGCTACTCACTTTGGCGTGTTTTTCGAAGTCTAGGAAAGCCCCCACCAGACCATCTCCGTTTGAGTAGTCTGAGATGTCTTCCTGACCCTCGCCATTCAACTGTAGCTCCCCTGTCAAGTCTCTGAGTCTGCGGTTTTCCGCCCTCAATGCTTCCATCTCGTCACGACTTGCCGCATTTCCATTATCTCCACCTCCCAACTCCCGTTCTCCTCGTCCTCCCTGCCGTTCGCGCACCCTATGCCCAGTGGTGCTTCCGTCACGGTTGTTGCGACGGTTGCGCTCGATCTCTTCGAGCCGAAGTTGTTCGGCGGCGGTGGTATTGCGACGGGTAGGGCGAGTCGAGGACATCCCGGGAGTCGTGGCTGAGAAGGTTTCTTCGATAACTATATTGCGCTGCGCTCGTATCGATTGCTGATGGTTGACAGGTGCTGCGATGGAAGAATTTCTTACTTGATGTTTTGCTCTGTCTCAGAGCTGGCTCAGCCTCGCCTCGTCGTTTCCTCTGGGGTTTTATCGACGTTTCAGTCCTTCAAGCCCCTGGGTTTTGCTGTAACGACGGGTCTGCTCTTTCTGGCCTGATACATTGTTTTCGACGAGTTCAGGGACTTCCATTTGTCTCATCCTGAATCCCCCGCTTAAGTGCTTGGCGCTTCTCGCCTCTCAAGCCTGTTTTACCTCTACGCAGCTGGGTCAAGACCGCGAGGTTCCATCAAGAGGAAGCTGGTGACGTTCTGTACTATTCTAGTACTCGCTGTGACGAGTTCAGGACTACCAGACTCGTCCTGAACCCCGCTCGATTGCAGAGGCGCTTCTTGCCTCTCGAGCCTGGTAGACATCAACGCAGCTGTGTCAAGGCCACGAGGTCCCATCAAGAGGAAGCTGGGTATTGATCGGTAGAGTGTACTGATCCGACGAGTGTCAGGACTACCAGACTGGTCCTGGACTCCCTGCTTGATCACTACGGCGCTTCTCGCCTCACAAGCGCATCTTGCAATCGCAGCTTTGTCAAGGCTAGCGAGGTTTGTCCATCGCGAGGACCTGGTACTCCAGGACTGTGATACAGTGCTGTTGTGACGGGTTCAGGACTACCAGTATTGTCCTGAATCCCCTCCTGAGTGCCTGGCGAGAAGCGCCATCTCAGGCTATTTTGCAACGTAGCTTTGTTAGGGCTACGAGGTTCATACAACATGCAGCCAACATGAGGGAACTCCTACTCCCTGTTTTGTATTGGCAGTAGGCCATACGCAAAAGCGCCGGGCTCATAACCTGTCAAAACTTGGGGGGTGTAAGAGTTATCGTATTGTCAAGGTGAGATATAAGACTAAGTACTGACGCTAATTAGTCATGCAACATCAGTCACATGATCACTGTCTTCATCGCCCATCTTGACATCATTAGCCTCTTTTTAAAGTTATTAAAGTGTATAGTCTTGTAGCTATTAGTAACGTATGCTCCTAGGATCCTAGGTACATAGCTTTGTTAGCGTCACTAGTTAGGGTACAAACGTCAAGGTAGTTATTGTCTTAGCTAACTATTTATATTCCTATGAGGAGTACTTGGGCAGGCACTGAGATATGGGCATAGGCTTGTATTGAGACGAATCCTTGAGGAGCTATCAAGACTCCTAGAAGGATGATATATACCTACGGCACGTGATCGTGGCTGGTGAGGGCCGACGGTGGCCCGAAGGGTCCCCGGTGGCTTGCCTGCCTGTGGCTGGAACCTGTGGTGTTGGAACATCGTGACAATTCCCGAGTCTCCGCGTTCCCTAACTAATTAATCCTTCTTGTAACATAAGCCCATAACGCTCGTTATCTACTCAAATAGCTTCGCCTACAAGTTCCTTAAGCGTATTAATGCTAGATATACTTCTTATAAGTGTTATGGGCGGAAAGAGGCCTGCTAACGAGTATGCATTTGCTCCTATGTACAGAAGAAGAAGGATAAGGAAAAGAAGAGTAGCGTCCTCCTCATACGGTATTTATCCTCCGTACGCTAATACAAAGATAGATAAGCGGGAAGTTCTTCGGCGTAGCCTCTTGTGGTACTTAGGCGTAGCCCCTTACAATACCTCCCCTCTCCCTCTTCCTAGATCGTACGGCTAGTTAAGTTCTAAGTGAATCTAGTTTCTATCGTACGAGACCGGTAATCGGGTGGCTGCCTATTCCTAGCCTCGCGTTTTGTTTGCTCAGTTGTGGGGTTATCAGCGGTGAATTCGTCCTTTACCGTACGATTGTCGGCCTCGCTAATTCCGCTCGTGTAGTGAAGGTAGAATCTAGGGCTCCTCCTAAGGTATATAAGAGCCACACCTCTGCCCTTTCTTAGTCTTTTGTCTTGTTGCAACAACTCCTCGTACGGCAACTTGTTACAATGCCTCCAAAGAACGCTCCTGCTCCCCCTCCTGCCCGTGGCTCCTGGGCTGCTAGCGGCGTCAACCACCTCTCTTTCGCTCTTGGTGGTAACGCCAACAGCTCGTACCCACCCTGGTGCTGTAGTACCTGTTATTAACGTCGCCGGTCCTATCAACATGAACGACTACCAGGTCTGGCACATCCTCGACAGGGACGTTGCTAGCGAGCTTCGCCGTGTTCTTTCAATGGCCTCCGTACGTATTGCTTAACGTTTCCGCTCCTGTCCTTTTACTTACGTCTCTTAGCCTCCTATCCGCCGCGTCGCCGAGTTCTTCCTTCGTCCTGTAGGAAACTCGCCGTACGACGCTTATTGGGGCCCGGGCAACACCGACTGGTCTCCTCTCGTTGCTCGCGGCACTCTTCACGCTCGCCAAATCTTAACCGGACGCGACTCCTACCTCAAGGCCTTTGTCATCCATACCCGTGGTGCTCTTAACGCTTCCCCGTGCTCCAACAACTGCGCTCAGGCCGTACGTGGTGATAAGCCCTTCACCGCTTTCGCTGGCTGCGTATCTATTGCAGGGGAGTGGAATAGTGCTTGCTCTAACTGCGTTTGGTCTGAGCACGGTGCGCAGTGTCAGCTTCCCCGTCACGGAGTTACTAACGGCGGAGGAGCTCTTCTTGGTTCTCGTTCTCGTACGGGCGGTCGTGCTGTTCGCGCTCCTTCTGCTGATGCGGAGCAGTTTGTTGATGCTGACGACTGAGTTGGCGTAACTGCTGGTTCCGTTTTCTCCGATGAGATCCTGTAGGCAACCGTACAGCTTGCGTACGAGTTAGCCATGACTGCAGGGCTGCTGTATTGGCTAGGTTCTTCTCTGGTTCCCAAGTAGCTTCCTGAAATCCAACCCATTTCACTAGATACTGTCTTGCTCCTTGACGTGTCCTCTCATGTGTGATGGTCTCTACTTGCCATTCGAGGTGCTCCTCTTGTTCGCCCTCGTCTCGTACAACTACTGCTGCAGGGTTTGAGTCGTTGGTTTGTTGCGAAGGGAGGGGGTCTTCCGCTGCTGGCCTTAACTTGTCGACGTGGTAGGTCTTTGTTGCCCATGGGGTTGCTAACTCTACCCAGTACGGGTCTCGTACGCGCGATACTTGGAATTTCTCACATTTCCAGTCAAGTTTCTTACTCGTTCTTGTAGTCCGTACGTCGCGTAGGTCGAGCCACACCCAGTCTCCTACCTTGTAGGTAGGGGCTGGTCTTCTTGACTTATTCGCTTGCCTTTCTTGCTCTTGTTGTGCGTACGACATTGCGGAGATCGCCCAGTTAGCTGCCTTTGTAATAACTCTTACGATTTCCTTAGCTTTGTCCTGTGTGCTTATTGTCGTTGTGGCGTTCGCTGTCGTACGGTCTAATGCCTCAGCTTGCGAGAAGGGAGTGTTGTGATAGCCGTGTTGCAGGAAGAAGGGAGATACTCCAGTTGTCGAGTTTGTGCGGGAGTTTAGCATAAGCTCTAGAACTGGACATAGCGTTGCCCAATTATCCTGATCGTTGTTGCAGAATACCCGTACGACTACTTCGATATCGCTATTTGCTCGTTCTGTTGTACCATCTGTCTGTGGGTGGTATGCTGTAGACAGGTTCCTCTTAATGCCTAGTAGCGTGCAGATATCTCCCCACAAGGCACTCGCAAACTGGGGCCCGCGGTCGGATGTGATAGAGAGAGGGAAACTATGGTGACGGTACACTTCTCGTACGAAGGCCCATGCGACATCTGGCGTCTCTATCTTAGCCATAGGTATTAGCACAACTCCCTTGCTTAGGCGGTCTTTTACCACCATTAAGTTAGAGTTCCCTTGGGATAGCGGCAGGCCCGTAATGAAGTCTACAGTAAGGTGTTGCCACGTACGGCTAGGGACTGGCAGAGGACGTAGGTAGCCGTGTCTTCCGTCCCTCCATGGGGTGCTCTTCCTACAGAGCTCGCAGTTTCGTACGAAACGACGTATATCGTCGCTCATCTTTGGCCAGTACCATTCTCTAGCGACTATCCTGTAGGTTTCTTCTCGTCCAGGATGACCTGTTTGCAAGGATAGGTGGGCGATTTGGACTATGCCCGTACGGAGGGGCTCGGACTCAGGAACCCACACGCGGTTCCTCCACTTTAGTCGTCCTTCGTCGTCAACTAAGCAGTCGCTAAGGGACACAGCTATCTTTCTAGTCGTAGACAAGGACCGTTGCCCTTCCCGTACGGCGTGTAGCACTTCTTGATACGTAGTGTCTTCTGCTTGTGCTGTAGTCCAGTAGCGACTTAGGAGTTCCTCTTCGTTCGGGGGCTGGGGTAGTGTTGGCGATATTAACGGTTCGTGGTCTAGTTGCACAGGGAACATTCCTACGACTTCTTGTCGTTGTACGGGTGCGAGCATCACAAATTCTCTAGTAGTGATACGGTCGTCTAAATTATCCTGTGGCAAGTCCTGATCACGGCGGGATAGCGCATCAGCTCGTACGTTCTCTTTTCCGGGGCGATAATGGATACGCATATTGCCAAAGCGGGAAAGTTCCACAGACCAGCGTACGTGTCGTTCTGTCATCTTCTGCTTCTTAGTGAAGTACTCTAAGTTCTTGTGATCTGTGATAACCTCGAACTCTCGTACGCCTCGCAGTTCGGCATCCCATTCTTTCAAGCAGTAGATTACCGCTAGGAGTTCCTTGTCGTGTATTGGGTAATTCGCTTCGTGACTTAGTAGTTTCTTTGACAGGTAAGCCACTGTACAGAGAACTCCGTTCTCGTCTTCTTGCGATAGCGTGCCGCCTATTGCATGGCCAGAGGAGTCGCATTCTAGAATCGTACGTCGTTCTGGGTTAAAGGGTACTAGGACTTCCTCCGAGAGGAAGGCGTCTTTTAGCGTGCAGAAACTCTTCTCTTGCTCTTGTCCCCAGGTGAACTTCGCGTCCTTCTTAGTTAGTTGCACAAGAGGTTCGGCGTGCCGAGCGAAGTG